GATAGTATATACTTAGTAATATTTGGCATTCAAGCATTTGTGTAAATATATATTGCCTTGTTAGTAACAAGTAATATAAGCAATACTATCTAATTGAAAAATACTATTTCAATTCCAAAATATAAATTTTGCGCAATTTTTAACGTTTATATTAAACGATTTATGTTGATCTTGAAATCAACGTTTTATATTCTTTATAATTTTTATTTTATTAGGTACTCTTGATACCGATATCAAAAAGCTCGTAACGAAATTTTTAAACGGCATTAAATATACGGCAAATCCGCATGTTGTTTTAAAATCTTATGGAACCGTCGATATCACATTTGGAACGGTAAGTTGGGTAAATATTTTATGTCATTACAAACAAGTGTTAATATCAATTTTATCAGTTAGGATGGTTTAAAAAATTATTAATCAATTTATAGCTTGATATGGACACGAAGCAATTAGAGGAAAATTTTGCTACCATTATTAAGGATGTTAATGAAGCAAAACCACGTCGTCCAGGACCTTTTATTACAAGGTAATATTTATTTACATGACAAAATTATGATCTTATATAAATAAATAATAATTATTATTATACTTTGACAGAACTCGTATTACATGTGCACCTTCAGCAGAAATGCTTAAAGTTGATTTTGAACAGTATCTGCCTAAAGATAGTATTCTCAAAGTGGAAGAAGAAGAAGATGAAAAACCAGATGTTGTTATTGCATCTCATTAATATTGTCCATAAGGATAGCAATAAAATAATATCTACAGTTAAAAATATATACATTATAATAATGTATTAACAGCAAGAACCTATGTTTTCCTCCCATTATAACTAACGAGATTTAATATTTCACACATGTATCCTGATTTTAAAAAGATTTGCAGATTTTTTTAAATTAATAATTAACGGAAAAAATTATCAATAAGACGTTGCTGGATTATAATATCGCAACAGTGAATGGATGAATGTTATATCTTATGCATATTAAATTTTATAACTATTGTGGTTTTATATGTTAGAATACAATTGTTGTTCGTAACCGCATATAGTCTGACCGTAATAATCCTTCACCGAAAGGCATATAATTATGCAGGACGTAATCTCGTTAACGCAGATAGAACATGACTATGGTCTACCGCTTGTACGTTAATAAGCTACGGTACAAGCATATGGAGGGAGACAGAGGCGGCTTTAGAAATAACGGTGCCCTAGGCAACATATTTACTACTAATGAATACCACGAGATTCTACTTCATTGAGCGAGCTATTGTATACACAAGGGCTTCGATGATAAAGCGCTTACAGATATTTAACTTCTATATGTTACGTCTGATGAAATCTTATAGCTATCTCGTAGTCTAACATGAAGCCCTTGCGCGCGCAAAAGCTTCTGCAAACACGAGACTTTTGTAAATTGTTAATTATAGTTCAAGATAGAAGCCCGTGGTTTATGATGTCTCGATGCATTTAAATAGAAATATACTTTTTAAGATTCCGAAAAATATTTACTGTTTTAATAAAAATGATAAATTTCATGCGTTTCAATATTTTTTTTGGACGCGAGTACGAAGATTTTAGATACAAAAGTATTTATCTCGATATGGCGTAAGACTAGTTGAGCAAAACTTTTACAGAATTGAGTTCTTCGACGAATAATTTCACAATTATTTATTTACTTTTTTACGTTTGTGAGAATTTGATGTTAATATGGGAGATCTTTGCAATGAGGATCTCGATGAAAGCGTTTACGAAGCTCAACACGAGTGCGATCGTTATAGTCGAACACGGTGATGCACTTTCACACGCGCGGTCACCTAGTTCGCCTGACGGCACAACCGTCTCTGCGGGAATCGCGTACTTACAACGAGTGGAGCGAAGGAGAACGAAGAAGGAGAGAAGTAGAAGGAGCGGCGAAGGCAAGTGAAGCGAAGGAAATGAGAATGGAGAACACGGTGAGCGGCGACCGGTGGTGGTGCGGCACCAAACGATCGGTGGAGGGGCAATGGCTTACCTACCTGCCGGTCGTGGGCTCAGTCGGTGTCCGCCAGGTTGAAAATCCGTCCGTCGCTTCTCTTGTACTTCTTAACTGGCGTGATCGTATACGCGAGCCGGCCACGCGTTTCCGTGCCGTTTCTTTTTTTCTTTTCTTTCAGAGAAGCTAAACGCGCCGGAAACCGTGACTTTTATCGAGAGAGGGTGGCGTTTCCTCCCCATTGACCTACTGATCAATCTCTCTCGGTATCGATGCTGATGATCGCGCGGGAATCCGATTGAATAGTCTGCCTTGGCTATACGGCAGACCCGGAAAGGCGAAAGGTTTTGCGCGCGAAAGAAAAAAGAGATTTCGTGTTTGTGTGTGGAAAAGTGGAGGAGGCGTATGCACGCGCGCGTTTGCGACACGCGTCTCTCTCTATGTGTATGTGTTTACGTATGGTGTGATCCGTGTTGACTGTGTAGGGTGCAACGACACGACGAGAGAGAGAAAGAGAAAAAGAGCAACAGATAGAAAGAGAGATAACGCAGAGAGAGAAAAAGAAAGAGAGACAGCGACATCAAGTTTCGCTCTCGACATCAGTCGCTCCGATTGCCTCCTTCGTAGACATGCCCCTGCTGAACAGCCAACAACTGCGACATTAGGTGACATATAGGCGCACACGTGCAGCAGTCATGGTAAGTTTGTAACAGACCGCCTCCGGCTCGGAGCACGCGCTCCGCAAAATCGAATCCGACGAAGTCGTGGAGAGTGGATGCAAACGGTGCAGTCGACTACATCAACGTCTATTTAATACCAAATTAGTTTTATTTCGAGTATCAGCATTAAATTATTTATAATACAAAATTATTATACAGCTTTGTTATAATTATTTTTTCGAAATTTTTGAACTTGTCAAATATTCGAAAATTGCATTTCTTTTCGACGTATACTGTTATTGCATCCAATTTCTCGATCGTCATTTATCATCCCTTCGTTAAATCTAGTCGACATAATTGAAGAAGCGAGGTGAGAATTATAACGCCACGGTACTTTCCAGCGACAGAAGTAACACGCTCTGCGCATGTTTCTCACATGCTTTCATCGTGTATTTATTTATTTCTATTTTATCCATCCGTGTATCCATTTTAGCTTACGTCTTTCGTAGCGGTGCGGAGGGAAATGAACCCTTACGCATTAAAATTATGCGCGCGCGGTTGCTCTCACGTGCGTGGAGTTTAAAGGGCATCTTATAATAAAGGTCGACGCGTGTGAGGAGGTACGGCAGGCCCAAGCAGGCTCTGATCTCTTCATTTCGCGTATACGAGCTGCAAGAGAGGAAGCTCGCAAGGTGAATACGGACGTCGGATTGGTATGCGGTGTCCGTAATTTGCAGCCACGAGTGTCGTTATTATGGCATACACGCGAACGCGCATTTCGCGCGTGGCACCTCCGGCATTTTCGAAGATCCTCGTTGTCCGCCAAAACAATTGCACGATAAGAAAGCATTTATGACTATTTATTTCTGAAGAAGAAAAAAAATTATCATTATCTTTAATTCAATAATAATCAAAAATATGTACTATTTCACTTCGGGTAACATGCAGTAAACATGCATCGACGATAAGATAGCATTTATATATTTATCTAAGTCTCGAAATTGGTCTCGATTAGTCATTCAAAAAAACATTTATCACAGTATTCTTATAATCTTGACCATTATCTCTTCAATTTTCGAAAGTCGGAAGTTTTTCGAACGAACTTCCAACGAAGTTCAAGGTTTTTCTCCGATTTGAAGTAGGAATCTTCAACAAATGTTATTCTTATGAGATAATATAAAATATATGAAATATGTCGATGAACGAAGCGAACTATTTTTTGTTCTAACGTTCTCTTCATTCTTTTTTTCTCTTTTTTTTTTTTGGTAAAATCTACTTCCGGCAGGATATTAATTTCGAAAGTCGAGAGATGTCGATTTTAAGTACAGCGTTTCACGTTAACGATTATTATTTCGGGAGTGTCTTATTTTAGCCACTATTTTATGCGAGAGAGAGAGAGAGAGAGAGAGAGAGAGAGAGAGAGAGAGAGAGAGAGAGAGAGAGAGAGAGAGAGAGAGAGAGAGAG